CACCAGAACCGCGTGGGAGGAACAAGAGGATGAGGCTGGCACCTCCCTGAGGAATTCACACTGTTGTGGCTGGAGAACTTTGGGAACTGGAGATTTAGTCTGGGAAGATTCTTGCTAGAGCTTGTAGCTAATAAACATAACTGGACTGAATTGGCACTGTCTCTTGGAGTTCCTTGGGCTAGGCCTGACAGACTCCTATGCATTCATTTACTGGTGTACAAGCCCTACACATGTATTCACATGGTTCGTATGAAAACTAAAATTAAGGTGAGAATACGGGATGCTGTTCCCTAAAGAATACCAACATCTGGTGATGCAGGCCATATATTGGCACTCACACTATTGGCCCCTCGCGGTGAGTGGAAACCCTTTTGGGTCTTCTTGCTTGGCATGGGAAGGGCAAGACACTGAGTCAAAGCCTTTCGAGGTCCCTTTTTAAAGCTCATAGATGTTCAGGAGAAACTCCACATGGATACCTGAGGATATTCATTTGGGGTTGTTATATTTTGGAAGGGATCCAGTGGATCAGTATCCTCCAAGGTTAGGAACTTTGAATGCTCTTCTTTGGGACTTCTAAAAGCAGTGGTTTTTAAAACTGTTTTATGATTCCTCAGAAGCCTACCATATCTTCCGTGTCTACAAGATCTGGGTAGTAAAAAAAAAAGTGCCTGATAGACAGCTCCTTTGCCACTACTGGTCTCCTCTGTTAGTACAAAGTTTTGAGTAACTCTTGAGTTGTATGCTCAGTTCAGGTGGAGAAAACTGGATCAAGTAGCAAAGTCAAAGAGATGAAACCAGAAGCCAATACACTATGGGTGGACTTACACAATACGGCTCAGCCGGTTGTGGGAACCAACCAGACATTTTGTCTTAGCAAATGTACTGTATCCTGCAGTCCTTTGAAATCCACACTGTCCTATTCTGAATGTACAAAAGTGGAAATGTACTAGATTCCTGTAGTTAGAGCAGTGTTTCTGAACCTTGGGAACTTTAAGATGTGTGGACTTCAACTCCCAGAATTCCCCAGCCAGCATCTTAAAGTTCCCAAGGTTCAGAAACACTGGGCTAGAGTCTTGATCCCTCCGTCTTTATGAAAATCTGTTACTTTAGAACGACCAGGAACAGTCCAAACATTTTATACTTTCTAATGATTCAGAATGTGGCTCTAGAGAGGAGGCTTCAGTACAGGAAAAGTCCATAAAAAGGTCTGATGAGAAAAATACATCTGTCCATGTGTCCATACATAAAGTGATTGTATTCATATTTTGCTTCTATTTCTACAGCTTATAAATGGAAATTGCAGAGTGTCACATCAACACCCAAGTAAATTGTGTAGGCTTACTTGTAGATTTGTAACTGTGACTGATTACAAATGAGGATCAAGTAGTAGATATAGGTTGAATGGGACTGGTATAAAAAGTATAAAATGGAACTGGAACCCCGTATGGCATTGGTCTGAATTTTTGAGACAGAGGAGCATACCTCATATAGCATCCATGCATCCATGTCTTATATTTAATGTCCTTATGTCTTGGAACAAATCTTTCTTTCTTACCTAAAAGACTTTAGAACCATTTTGATTGGTTCAGACTAGGTTTGCAGCTACACATGTTGGCTGTGGGTTTAGAAACGTTACCTGTGATACTGTTGTCAGCTTCTTTAAGGTAGGGGTGGGTAACCTTTTTCTGATCAAGTGAGGCATTTATTCTGCATTACTCTGTTAGGTTTGGCTTTGGAACTAAAGCAAGAAATGGGTGGGGACTGAGCCTACAATGGAAGGGTAAGGTTTGGGTTCTACCTCCCCATGTTGTCTCTTCATTGCATCATCTTCTTTCTCCTCCCTCCCAAGGAAGGGAGAAATAGCTCATGCCACATGGGTCTTGGAGAGAAGCATTTCAACATTAATATAAGCATCTGAGCAAAGTGGGATATGTTGTCTCAACTACCATGGGCTGTGATTATCTTATGGGATTTTTGGACTGAAGGATCTCTTTCAAGTCAAATCAGAAGGGCAGGTTGAGATGAAGACACCCAGGTTACCATCTGTCCTGTCTTGGGGAGAATGGTTGTCTTCATTTACTTTGATCACCCTGCCATCTGTGGCTTATCCCAGATTATTCCTTGGCATCCAGGATGATTTATGAGAAGAAACTGGTAATGGTCCATCCCAGGGTAGATAATTCATTTTGTCTTAATTCTCAGTCCCAACTTTCAGATTGTCAGATGTGGATATTGGCATTGTAAAATAGGGTTCTCAGTAAGATTGGTGTGGCTGCTTGAACGTGTAACCCTATAGTGGTAATCATTTCATCCACTTTTATATAGGATGGTTATGGGGGAAAGGGTCCACTGTCCCAGCAGACCAAAATGGCTGGAATTGTGCCTCGTTTTTGGGTCCTGAATGACAGCATTTGCTGAAAGTGACTGGCAAGAGGAAGTGATTTTATCACCAGTGGCAAGGCGTCTCTGCTGTTTGCCCCTGCCCACCTCTTTCTTGTCATTCTCCTATCTTAGCTGAAATACAACATTTAAAAGGGAACATGGGTATAAGTGGTTTGTAACATCTTTTTGGCTGCAAAGCACATCTCTCAACAAAGAGACTGCCAGGGCGGGGTGGCTGCCAGAGGATTTGATCTTCTTCACAGCTAGACTCCAGTGGGGTCCTGGAAGTTTCATTTTCTTCAAGATGCATACTCTCAAATGACCAACTAGTAACCATCATCTGAAAATTATCTTTGTGTGGGTGGAATTACTTCTCTGTGTCAGAGAAGCACATTTCTTCAATAGGTTACCTGTACTCAAGTATGTGAGAAATTGAAACAATCATAAGGCTGCACTGTTATTGTGAAACTGGCCTGCTTGAGTTAAGTGTGATTGTTTTCAAGTGTAAGGCTAAATTTATCTGACTCATTCAGCCTTCCTTATCACTGTTGCTATTATGCTGTTGGCAATTGGTTTGAAAAAGTGTGTCTCATTTACAGTATGTGGCATCTAAAGAAGGAAATCACACTTTTCAATTTGAAATGTGACAATTACGGTTTGGTTATGGATGTCTGGATTTTTCTGTCCCCCAAATAATGTGGCTTAAAGAGGTACAGT